CTTTCTTGCACTACTTGCAAGTTGCCCACCACAGTCCGGTCTTCGGGTCCTTCCACTTATCAAAATTGTTTTGCATAAAAGAAGAATTACTTTCCATCTTTAAAATGGTAGATGTATAAGTAGAATTGTAGAAATGTAGGATAATAAGAGAAGATGGAGATGGAGAAGAGTTGGAGAAGAGGTGTAGAAAAATGGTAGAAAATAGATGTATTTATAGATTTTTTTTGAACCCCACCCCCACACCACCACCACCGGGACCCCCCTGCCCCCCACCCTAAGCCCCAACGGCTATATAGCCGTTTGGGAGCTAATTTAAAATGTTTTTAATTTTTCTTTTTTGAAAATTAAACATTTTGTAAAATAAGTTAATTAGTTTAATGAATTGAGTAAGTAAAACTATTTTTTACTTAGAAAAGTGGTTTGATTTATAATTTACAGATGTTACAAAATAGGTGTATAAGTATTTAAACAAATTACATATTGAAGTTGTAACTTGTAAGTTTGTAACCAATTAATTAATTTACATATTAACATTACATATTTTAATTTAAAACAGCCTTTATATTTTACAAAAATAATTTGAAGTTGTAAGTTATAAGTTTGTAACCAATTAATTAATTTGAGAAGTGCTACATATGAAAAAATGAACGCATGTTTATTTGAAATATGAAGTACAAGTTTACAAATTAATTTTATTGAATTGATTATTGAATAATTTTTTTTTTGAGAATTATTGAATTGATGTACACAATAATATAAAATAATTCAAGTATATTTATTTCAAATAAGAAGTACAATTGAGAATTAGGATGAATTTAAAAAATGTAATACATTTTGTAATAAAAAATCAATCGGAATCTCCGCCTTCGGTGGTTGTTTCCTCCATAAAGTGGCGGATGGGAGCAATGGTCATTTCTTGAGTTCTTCGTTGGGCCTTCAACCAATCGTGGAAGCAAACTAGCGTCTCAAGAGAGCTCGGGCTCAACCTCGTTCTATAATCGGTTAGAACGTTGTCGGCCGCACTAAATTCTTGTTCCACGGCAACTGTTGATATCGGGAACGTTCTTTCATTTTCCACGGCAACTGTTCCACGGCCGCACTAAATTCTTGTTCCACGACATTGCTAGCACTTGCTTAGCCATCTTTGATAAAATCGGGAACGTTCTTTCATTTTCCTTCCACCACTTAAGAACGTCAAAGTCATCTCCAACTTCATAATCAACATTCAATGTTAGATACAAAGAAAGCTCGTTAACTGAGCTTTGTTCAGTAGCGGGAGTTGCTCTACTTTTTTTCAAAAGAGAACCAAATGAAGATTTTAAAAGTGATTTTCCTTTAGATGAAGAAGATGTTCGCGGCATGGGAGGGGTGCATTACCATACTGTGCATGAAATTCATTATACAATTGATGAAATAAATTATTAACCTCATTGTATTCTTGTTTAGGGTCGATGGGATTATCATCGAACTCTTGAGTTGGAAAGAAAGAAGCATAATAGTAATCTATACAATTTGCCAACGAGGCAAGTTTATAACGAGGATCAAGAACAAATGCAATACCGTATATATGCGGAATATGTGAATAATATTTTAAAACTTTAGTTTCATGAAATCACAAAAATAACTAACGTAAGCGGCATCGGAAAATTCTAAAAAAGCGCCGGCGAGATTAACAGCTTCAACAAAATATTTGTTTGCGGTAGGTTTATAAATATGACTAAAAGTTTGAGTTGCGTTATTAAAATATACCAAAACATTAACAATTTTTTCACAAGTGTCGATGTCAGCCGGATTTATAATATAGTTACAAGTTTGTCTTAAAAAAGCAGGAAAATGATCTTTATATCTAATAAGTACTTGAATTAAGTTATAAGTACTATTCCAACGAATAGACAAATCTTTAGGAAAAGCACAATAATTGACACGTCTTTCCTTCAAATATTGCCGCCATTGCATTTTTAGTGGAGTGTTAGCCCAAATCAATTTAATTCCCCCCTTCACTACTTCCAAAGCATTTCCTAATGCCACTAACTCATCTTGTACATACAAATTTAGAATATGACATGCACAATGTTGATGAAAAAACCTACCCATCAATGTAGAAACACCACACAATTCACGCAATCTAGGTATAGCAGCAATATTATTACTAGCATTATCAAAACCTACAGCAAACACCTTATCAAGCAAATTATACTCAATTAAAATACGCTCAATGAGAATATAAATATTATCAGCAGTATGACGATCATTGAATTCACGAAAAGCAAGAACACGTTTATGCATATTCCAATCATCATCAATATAATGTGCAGTAAGACCCAAATAATATAAATGATGATAAGTATCCTCCCATATATCGCTACAAATACTAACACGTCCATCAAAGTTTGCGAAAAATGTTTGTAATTTTTCTTTTTCAAAGTTATATTGCCTTATAACTTCTTTTTTAATCGTTTTGCGACCATAATTTCTAAATTGCGGATTTAAAGTACCTTGAGCATAATCTCTTAAAGCAAGACTTTTGGAAAAAATATAGGGTAAATTTTCTTCAACAATTAATTGAGACATACCAGTCAAATGTTTTTGATCACCATAGAAGAAATTACCAAAGGGTTGAGAATTTGCAAACTTCGATATTTGTGTTTGCTTCCCCTTGCCTTTGTCTATTTTTGCATACTCCACAAGGTGGGCGGACTTAAGATGCCTTGTCAGACTCCCGTATCCGCCAGAAGTTCCCAAGCTATACTTTTTGCCGCAGTGATTGCAACTTGCGTACCATTTATCGGTATTTTTGTCTTTCCTTTTTGTAAAATTGTTTTCAATAATAGGAGATTTAGATTTCTTACCAACTTGGGATGAACTGCCCTCGTCCTCCAACTCTTGCTCATCATCTGGGGTGCCGTGAGTCCCGTCGCCCCCCGCGTCCTCCTCCGCATCGTCATCCTCGAGCTCCTCTTCATCAATGGTTGTCGGGATGTGTTGTTCTTGTGCAAAGCGGGGATCATTTTGGGACAATAGGTGTTGTAGTTGCTCGTCGGACATCATCATATCATCTCTCCGTTGGTAATCCGTTTCAAAATCATCTCGACTTTGAAAAGAAGACTCGGCCCGCGTTTTACCTTTGCCTTTGCATGAAGTAGGACGAGTCGACGCAATCTCCCTCTTGCGGTTGCGTTGGAGATTACCCACATCTATAGAATGTCTACCACGCTCCATCTTTAAAATTGAACAAATATTAAATGATATCAAATATTTTATATGAGTACAATAGTAATAATAAAATGTGACTAAGAAAACTATAGCAAATTCGAACTAAAATATGAGTATATTTTAGTGTAACAATTTGGTTTCCTTGAAAAAAAATCGAACTACTTCTAATTAATACTTTAATGAGAAATGTAGCAATTAACTAATATGAGAAATGTAAAAATTAACTACTGTTTTTTACTTTAATGAGCAATGTAGCAATTAACTAATATTAATATGAGAAATGTAACAATTAAGTAGTTTAACTAATATTAATATGACAAATGTAAAAATTTACTAGTTTTTTTACCTTAATGACAAATGTAGCAATGAACTAATATTAATAGGAGAAATGTAACAATTAAGTAGTTTAACTAATATTAATATGACAAATGTAAAAATTTATTAGTTTTTTTACCTTAATGACAAATGTAGCAATTAACTAATATTAATATGACAAATGTAACAATTAACTACTTTAACTAGTTCTTTTTACCTTAATGAGAAATGTATACTTTAAGTAATATTAATATGACAAATGTAACTATTAACTACTTTAACTCATATTAATATGACAAATGTAAAAATTTACTACTTTTTTTACTTTAATGAGAAATGTAGCAATTAAATAAGTAACTAGTTTAACTAATGTTAAATGATAAATGATATGTAACAAGTAACTATTTTTTTTTTCTTTAAAGAGAAATGTAGAGAAATGTAACAATTAACTAATTTAATAGATAAATGATAAGTCTAACAATTAACTACTTTTACATAATATAATGTTTATAGTATATAATATATAAGTATATTACTATAAGATGAGTAATACACTTATACTTAATACTTTAATATATATATATAAGTATATATTAACTAAATGTAATATGTAAATATAAGTAAATAACAATAGTATGGATAAAAACTAAATATCAAATAAATATGAATGTGTATAAGTATATATAGTATATATAATGTGTAAATATATTATAAGTAATATATAATAATATAATGTTTATAGTATATAATATACAAGTATATTACTATAAGATGAGTAATACACTTATACTTAATACCTTAATATATATATATATATATATATAAGTATATATTAAATAAATGTAATATGTAAATATAGGTAAATAACAATAGTATGAATAATAACTAAATATAAAGTAAATATGAATGTGTATAACTATATATAGTATATATAATGTGTAAAGAATTATAATATGAATGTGTATAAGTATATATTTATAAGTAGATAATTAATATATAAGTAGATATAATAATTATATAAATTATATATATGTAGAAAGAATTTGGAGAAGATGAAGAATGAAGATGATTGAATATGAGAGATTGAGAGAATAGAGAATTAGAGAGTAGGAAGAGTTGTAGAAGAAGAGGTGTAAAAAATGTATAGAAAATAGGAGTATAAATAGGTTTTTTTTGTATACCCCACCCCCCACCCCCCACCCCCCACCCCACCTCCCTAACCCCCAGACCCCCCCCCCCTCCTTTGCTCCCAACGGCTATAGAGCCGTTTGGGACACTCCCAACGGCTATTACAGTCTTAACAATTAAAAAAAATGTGACCGTTGAGGCCCGGACCACTATATCACCGGGCCGGGTGGCCCGAACCGGGCACTAACCGGTTCACCGGGCCGGTCCGGGCCCGCACAGTAGTGGGCCGGTCCAGTTCCGGGCCGGTTGGCCCGGCCCGAGTCCATCCCTAGACAGCAGTCGTATTTTAAACACAAATTATAAGGTGAATATAAAGTCAGACAAAGTGCACAAACATGATAACTGATAAGATACCGTTGAAACTTGCCAGGCACAAGGAATATGTATCCACAATCGATCAACAAGCAGGTGTGACTTAGTCTTAAATATGCACAGCAAGGAACAATACAAATCTGTGCGTTTGTACCACAACAAATAGCACAATACATCAGTAACGATACTTGGTAGAGTAGTCTTTGGGAGCGATGACAAGACCACGGCCCTTTCTGGCACCACGGTAGACAGTCTCAACAATGTCAATGAACTCTTGTTTGTCCTTGAGTGCCCAGTTTATCTTGTTATTATTCCCAGTTCCAAGATCGATCATGATGTGTTTGTTCCTAAAGAAGAACATTACAGTTGATGGGTCATACAATTCATACATTGTGTTGAAGTCAGGTACTTCAGTTATATCCACTAGGTATATCACTGCAAAATTCTTTAATGTCTCCGCCACTGAAGCCAATACTTCATCCATCTTAAACCCCAAGAAAAAAAAAACAATTAGTAGGCACATCAAAATAAAGAAAACAGTATTGCAATATATGTAATGCCAGATATGTACTATATAAAAAATTACTTGACCACATTCAATGGCACACTCGGTCGAAAAATTATACTATCATATCTCATATTTCACCATTTCCATTAAAGACATGGGAAGTGGCAACAAGTAGCACAAAATCTCAGTGGTTATAATATATGATCATGTTGAAAGTTTTTCATTGCTCAATACAAATAGTTTTACTCTATAACGTAAGTTTTACAACGTTTATACGTAATAATTTATCTGATTCTCTCATGTACGAATGGCAGCCAAAGAGAGTCAATCACAACCACCATAAAACACCCCAAGCCCTTAAGGGTATGTTTGGTTCTGGTTTTTTGGGGGGTACAGAATGAAAAAGCCCCCCCCCCACTGTATTGGCTAAAAAATGAATGACTTTCTATACAACACTTTCTATACAACAAGACTTACACTGTACAAATACCCCTTTTTACCACTCTTTCCACCCCCTTACGTACAAATACACTGTACAAATTCCTCTTCCCACTTTCTGTTTCTCGTATCCCTTAATCTTTTTACTCGACCTCTAACATCATCCAGTATCACTATTAACTTTCTCCCTCTATTACTTTTTTCAAATCAACAACCCCTTGAAAAGAACAAAATACAAATGACTTGTGTATGTCTATTGTTGATATTTTACTTCATCAAAATCCACACACACACATATATATGCCTGTGTGTTTCAAAATTCTCAAGATTACTCATTATTACTTTCTGTATGTCTTCTCTTGGAATTGCTTTCAGTATCTGCAAGACTGCAGATTTTGTGTCAAGCGTTGAAGAACCCATTGTACATGCATTTGTAGTTGCTGCATTCTGAATGACATATAAACACTACACAAAACGACTATAGAATGTTTGTTTTATTGTCACAGACATTTATTGATTTAAGTTGTGATATTGTTTACTTTTTTGAAGCTTTCTTATAAATATAGTAATTCACCCCTCATGATGAAGAAGTGTTTAAAGATAAAGATGTTTAAAATGTAAGAATCAAAATTGTGCGAGCATTTGGTATGTTTTTTTAGCAAGGGTGTGGTCTTGGACAGGAACTGAAGTATTCCGAAAGTATTGAGATTTCAATTGGACTAAAACAATTCAGGATAAACAAAATTCCAAAACAAAATTTATATTTCAGAGTTGTCATGCAAGAAAAAGACCTAACAGAACTCATAAATCAGACTCCCCCGTCCCGCTAAGATTGTCCCAGACACTATGCACTTGGTCAACACAAATCACTCTTAATCTCTTACTTTATACATAAAATTGTTATCAAATTTGATTCTGGTTTTTGCGACTTTATACTGATTTTAATGTAGTATTTGAATATGTAATTTTTTTTTCTAAAAATAATTTGAGTGCGGACAGGGATCTGTTTGCTTTATCGTCGCTCAAACATCGTAAACCGAATTGTCCCAAACTTAGTGGGACGGAGGTAGTAATAGTTTGAAACACCAATCATTGATGCGAATTGGGTGTCAATCTGGAGAAATAATGTGTTCTAACTATGCAGGGTCATGGATGCTTTCATTCATACATGCATGCATGTATACATGTCATAACTAGCTCATTAGTCCTACAAATCAAGATTGTTTCAATGTAATAAAAATTGACACCGCTTACGAAAAGGAAACTTAAAAATGAGTTAACTTGATTGTGTGGTGTCCAGTTTTATTACACTAAAATATTATTGACTTCACATGATTCAGAAGGGTTATGACGTAATACTATTCAGAACTATTTGGAACCTGCTGAATTTCTTCATGCACAACACAGATGACAGAACTACAAAACCTAAGGACAAACCTTCTATGTAATTCATGTACTCATTCTTATCCAAGTCTATAGAATGCATCACCACTCACCAGACAATGGTCATCTGTGGACCAAGCTCACATGTTTTTGGTAGACCAAGCTCAGAGACGAGCTGCGGGACACAACTTAAAATCCTAAAGTCTGAGAGAAATCTTTTTACACTCCAAAGCACCATAGCAGTAAAAAAGAAGACAAATACAAAAGCTTAATAGCTTATACAGGTTATTCCTCAAACAGTCATCTCATCAATGGTTTCCATATCTATAAAACATTTGAACACTCCTGTGAAGAGGTGAGTTCACCATTTGATTTTTAAGTTTTCTTCATGGAGGTGGCGGTGGCACTGTCCGCAATCATAGAGAGGTCGGATATGGAGACATCAAAGACCATTAAAGGAGCAGATGAAAAAAGTTGGAGAGGAGTGTACCAATGAATGTGGAGGAGGAAAGAGGGAGCAAACTGAGTGGTGAAGGTGGAAAAAAGAAGACAGATCCGGTCATGGAAAGGGAATACAAGCACATGAGGTGAGGGGTAGAAAGTTAGGGAATGGAAAAAATACTCCCTCCGTCCCGTAAAGAAGTTCCCGTTTCAGTTTAAGATGCTTGACTGACGATAAAGCAACTTAATCCTTGTTCACACTCGGATTATTTTTAGTAAATAAAGTTTAGATATTCAGAAACTACATTAGAACCGCTACAAAGGCTGAACAAGAAAATTTAAATTTGATAAAAAAATTGTTATGTAAAGTAAAAGATTAAGAGTGATTTAAGTTGACCAATTGAATAGTGAACGAGAACTTCATTTCGGACGGAGGTAGTAGATTATATTTGTATGATGTAAGTCTTGTTATACATCTTGTTTTACATCAAGGCATATTCTAAACCAATTTGGGGGTGTTTATATTTCCTTCCCAATCATTTCCTGACTGGCCAATTTGGTTTCTTTTAGGGAATGCACAAACTTCACTGCATGTCTGCATCCCCCTCCTACCATGCAATCAAAACAAATAAGGTACCAGACTACCAGGTGTCCTAAAGAAAGCTTCACCCCCTCCTCACTCACCCTCTCTCTTGATAGCAAACATACACTTCATAACACCCATACTTGACTCAGTTAACTGACAAAGACAGGACACGTTATGAAAATGGGAGTAAACTGATGGATCCAGTAGAACAAAGGCGCCTGCAGAACGAACCTATTTTGATTCTAAATCTTATAGTGGAAGAAGCTTTCTGTAAGAAATTCGATTTATATGAATTCACATGTTTTTAAAAAACAAGAACATTGGGAGACTTACTAATCAAACTATCTATGGCGGTTAACCAGACATACCCAACCAACCAGAATTTACAAGTTAATCTCGATTAGTGTACAATTTAGTAAACGTTTCAACGTTTTCCCCCTTTTAGGACAACAGAATGGAAAAAAGAAAAATTGGACAAATAGCTAACGATAACGAATGTACCTGCATGCAGGTCTCGTCCCAGTCGTGACCGAAGCGGATAAGGACGAGGCGCTCCTCCTCTGCGAGGATCGCTTGATCAACTGCCCAACCGGAATGAAGATGAGGCAGCAAGTACGACATTTTTTTAATCAAGGCAAGCAGATGGAGCAGATCGTAGTATATTAGGGTTTGGAGCAGATGGAGGATAGGAAGAACGCTATTTTTACGGTTTGGAGCAGATCGTATCTAGTCATCTTGGAGGGATTTGGAGAGAAGGATTGGTCCAATGGCAATGGGGTGGGGCGGGTATTGCAAGACCCGGACCCGCCCGTGACTTGGCGGGGCGGGTCCGCCCCGCCCCGTGACCTGCACGGGTCCAAACTTGTTGACTCATGACCCGCCACATGCGGGGCAGGGCGAGGCGGGTCCGTCCCGCCGCAACCTAATTAGCTAGTTTGTATTTTTATTTGTGGCCTTGTGGGAAGTTGTTACCAATTGAATCTACATAATGTTTATCTCTAAATAATAATTAAAAATCGATATATTAAATCAAATTCATGATACGCTAAAAATTTCAAAAATTAAGGAAAAATTACTCAAACTTGAATAGTTAATCTAATTAGTTATATTAATAATTGAATAAATGTATTAAAATTCTATATATAAAGAAGACATTGATAATCCCTCATCCATCTCATTCTAATATATACTTATTTATATATTATAAGATCAAAGAATTTATGATTTATTGTATGCACACATATGTATGTTGAACTATATTTGTAGTATAAGTTAAGAAAAAATATGTATATTTATATATTGAGCGGGTCGGGGCGGGGCGGGGCGGGGCGGCATGGGTCAATTCTAATACCCGGACCCGCCCCATTGTATAGGCGGGGCGGGGCGGACCCGCCCCATTTGCAATAAAAATTACTCCCTAATTCGCTACACTTTCTTATTTGGAATATATTTAAAAGTTTGTTACATTTTTCCTTTTGTGATTAGTTTTTCTTTTAAAATATCAATTACATTTATTTTTTCTACTTTTTATCTTCTATTTCTTACTTTTTTCACGGTCTCTTCTACTTTTTCTACACTATTTATTACCTTAATATTTCCCCTTGAATATTGTGTCAAAACTTAATGTAATGATCTTTTAAATGTACTACGGAGGGAGTACATTTTAAAGAACTTATAATTTGACTATACTGATGATTATGGTTTGTGACCAATATTAGTTTGCAGAGCTTGGAGCAACTATTGTTTTCTAAGAAATTTCTATCTGAAATTTATTTTTTTCAAATGAAAAACTAAAATAGTCACATGGATAATTATTATCTATGAATAACATTGATATACATGTATACATGCACACAAGTAACTAATAATATAACTACAAACAAATGTAAATTACAACTTGTAATATCTTGCTTTTGACACTTCTAGTAGCCGAGAAGGCGAGAAGCTTATACGAGTAACTATGCTAAGGGTGGCTTGATCTAGTTCCATTAGAGACAGGGCATTTGATCTAGTTCCATTAGAGACAGGGCAAGCGAGGTACATGTATTTTGCTCATAGAAATAGTCTCTGGTCTCAATAAATTGAGTTAAATGCTAAATAATCAAAGAGACCTTCTATTCACATGATAAATAGTGAAGTGACAAGACATTAATACATGAAGTAAACTTCCAATATATAAAGTCACAAGGCCCAATTTAGACGTCATGTGAAATCAGGCTTCATCATACTTGTTGGATCATCAGTTCGTCTGCCCGGCTATTTTGTTTCTTCCTGTGATTAGGGGAGAGGGGGGTAAGTCATCAGATTTAAGGATCGATCTTTCAAAAGCGATAAAGACAAGATTAAATTTTTACATACCAAATCATATGAAAATTACAATTTCAACGATTTGGAGATAATTGTGTAACTTGGGGTGGGAGTTTTCTGCGCTGGTGGGGTGAGTCAACAAGTTAACATGTATGTCTACACCTAGAAAGTTCCCTGAACAGTGTTTAAGTTTTTCTATGCCAACTCAAGCACACCCAAATTTGAGACGGTCTTCATTGGAGATGCAAATAAATACACAATGTCTAATTTTATATTTTTATGGGGGTGACACCTTTTTCATAGACTTAAGTCACTTAACATTCACCCCTAAAAGATGGGCAATTAAGAAATCTATGGGCAACATTCACCCCTAAACATTCGTTACATAAAATGATTAAAATTTATATCCTCAAACTAATAAGAAAACATAGTAATACGGATGCACTTCTAAAAGATGAATGACTGTTTGGTTTATAAACATGAGAAAAACTAAGTTAGCAATGCAGATATATGAAAACTATAGCAAAATATTGAAATAAAAAAACCTACATTTAAGCTTATAAGTGTGTCAGTAAGATATTTAATATACTCCATGAAGATTTTTGTTACACACGAACCCCTACATCTTTGGTTCTCTACATCATCAATTCATTATTCCACTACCTCATAAATCCATTGTATTGTATGAGATCTTACCTCAGCCATTAAAGTTCCCAACGTTACTTGCATCAACGATGCTGTACTCACTTTTATACTCACCATGTTTGTGAAGTTTTTTTTGTCTGTGAACCCGGTTCACGGACAATATTTTGTTTGTGTAAAATATTGTTCTGTGAACAAGGGTTCACAAACAAAAAAACCATCACAAACATAGGTGGGTACAAAAGTGGGTATACCAATAGGTACAAACATCATTTTTTTGCACTTGTATTTTTTCATTTTTTTTTTGCACTTCCAGTATTTGCAAAGCAGCATAAAGTAAGCCTGTGACGCTTGGTTTGTACACTCAGTAAATGCGCACTTAAAATCAAAACACCATTTACCAACAAAGTAAGAACTTTATTTCTCTACAGGATATATTTCAGATATATGGGATTTCGAGTTCGAGTGCATTGATGTTGTATACGGAGTATTTGATACATTTGCATTGGAAGTATTATACCTGCATGGCTGCATAAAGACTTCTGGGTGAACCAAAACTAAACATCTCTAAACAATGGTGCTTTAAAATATATATACAACCACATAAAAATACTACTCGACCATTCCCAGTCGATGTCAACCGTGTTTCCTAGTAATATGACCGAAAAGGATGGTAGTCCAGAATATGTGTGTGCAAAAAATGTTTAATCAGTAAACTTATAAATAACACTTGTGCATATTTTTATTCTGTACTGTGGTGATTATGAACATTATCTCACATTCTCACCAAGTGAGACAAACTAAAAAGGAGCTTAAGTTAGACTAAGATCAAAATGATATGATGTACAGAGCCAGTTTTATAACGCAGCCAATTGCTACCCTCAAGAATATGACACTCAACAAGTTTCTTTTCCAGGACTTGTGAAAGTTGGGAGCAACTACTAACCAATGAATCAAAACACCAAAGACAAAGATAACATTTTTTATTTGACCTGTTCTGCAATGGGATATTACCATTTCCCCATTCCCTCCATTTTACTCTTTGACTCGGTTTGACTATTCTCTCCTCTTCTGCAAACCAGCAACAATAGTCTGAAGCCATAATTCACCTTTGAGTAGAATTGTTATCGACATTGATATGGAACATCATTTTAACACCAATAATGTCACAACATGGTCTGAAAGAACAAAAGACCAGCAATAACCAGAAGGCATTCAAGATAGAATGCGGGTACATGGGGGGATTAAGTAGCTGAGGGCATAATCTATTACAAATAATACACCTCAACCTACAAAGTTCTTCTGGAAACCCAGATACTACATAATTAGTTACACGATTGCAAGATTAATCATCAGCCACCCCTTCTGACTTCCTGAGTATCATGAAAAAAAAGTACGCAAGGAACTGTAACTGCACATCATATGTTCAGCTTCACTATACATATTTTGTAAAATCTTATTGCTCCATGCTTAAGATGGAGTGCTGCCGACTAATTTTTCTTCAACAGCTTGAGATAGATATCAGGGATTAAATAAATTATTGGTTACTTTTCCATGTGATATAGACATTGCTGTTCACAGCTCGATTGATTAATCAAAAAGGTTGAAAATCTGAATTCTCTTTGAGAGATGGATGAACTTAAAAATGAAATAGAGAAAGGGAATGAAAGAAGTACTACGTATGAAACATGGCAGCGCATATTTTGTGCAAATTGCATGAGGAAAACTGAGGCTGTCACGATCTCAAACACGCGTGGAGCACTGAGGTTATTATGTTCATTAAAGGCTTAGGGATTAAGGGCATCTAGGGTGGGGCATCTCTGTATTATGGGTTGGGCCTTTAAGTTTTTTAGTTGCTTTCATTTCATTTTCTGTTTTCTTTTTTTCCTTATCTTTTCTGTTTCACTAATTAATTATATTTCTATAAAAAAAACTGAGGCTGTCACTGGAAGACAGAATACAGTAAAAGGAAAATAAGCAAGGGTAGTTGCATATGTGTGTAGATTGTGATAGACTGAAAAAATGCAAATGGTACATCCTCCACATGCTATCTAACTGAAGAAAAGAAGTCTTATGCATAGCTTCTACATTACTACTTAACAAACCTTTATACAGTAAAATAAGAAGAAGGGGAGATTATACATTCATAATATCCAACTGAAAATCCTAAGGACCAAAAATGGTTCACCAACCATTCTTCTTAACTCTGAATAAGTTGATGGCTAGTATTGTTGTTTCATCAATTTCATCTTAAACTTTAGAATAAAGACACTTATCTTCGTTTTCAGAATAAGAATACTGCTCCTCATAAAAAGTATCTTCAGTTTCAGAGTAAGGAGGATGATGCTCTTCACTGGAAGCAAACCTCATCTCTTGACCAACCAAATGAGCAAGATCAAGTCTGCCAGCATCTTTATAGGCATCTACGATGGCATTACACAGTGACCGATCACACTCAATATATCCAGACTTCATTTGCATATATATCCGCTCTATGCCATGAACTAGGCGAGCTTTGCCATAACAACGAACAAGACAGACATATGTAAACATATCGGGTTCCAGTCCCACGTCAGTCATTCTCATGAAGATATTAAGTGCCTTATCTATTTTCCCTGATGCTCCGTAAGCATATATAGCCACATTGTAGGCAAATGAATTAAGCCCCCCCATTGCTGATGGATTTATGAAGATTTCACAGGATTCAAGTGCATATGCATGCAAACCCACCACGGAAAATACAGAGGTTATCACAGCATCACTTGCATATTCTTTCCCTTCCATGTAGGATGACTCAAGCTGTCTGATTGCTTCAGCCGGAAAACCTCTCCTTCGCAATACGGTGAATAATATTGTAATTGTTGATTTGTTTGGAAGAAGCTTCCTCCTGACTACCATTTCATGCAGCAACTCACCACATTTCACATGTTGCCCATTCGAACTATAGCATGCCATCACTAGGTTAAATGTCATGCAATCCCTCACAAGCCCTGAGTGTTTCATCTCCTCTGCAATGTCAATGGCTTCACTTAGCATACCCATGTTCATGTAGGCATACATAATAGTAGCAAAGGTAACCTCATCTGCCTTCCCTTTCTCACGCAAATCATAAAACATCAATTTTGCTTCAGATACCATTCCTAAGGATGCGTACAAATTGAGCATGCTATTAGATGCAACTATGTCGGGACCTGTATCCATGTTTTTCATCCTCTCATATAAAAGTTTTGCCCCTTCTACCGAACCAAGCTTACTATATGCCTTGATCATGGATGTCAAGATTATTTGATTGGCTGATATACCAGATTCTTCCATCATATGTAAATAGTTCATGGCTTCATCAAGGTGACCAGCTTCAGCAAACCCATCAATTAAAGATCCATAAACTACGACATTTGGTTTTACACCAGTTTTTAGCATTTCTTGAAACAGGTCAACAGCTTCGGAAAGCCTATTCACACGGACATAACTAGCAATTATAGCAGAGTAGGTCATGCATGAGGGTTTAAACCCAACATGCAGCATTTCAATTAAAAGTTTCTTTGCCTGGTCCACTATATCGCCACCGGAAAACATCTGAATAAGAGAGTTATAAGTGCAGTCATCTGGCCATGTACCTTGACTCTTCATTCCCTTGAAGAGGGAGAAAGCTTTATCATACAACTTTGCTTCCCCATAAGCTTTAACCATGACATTATATTCCAACACTGTCCTCTTCTGCCTGAACACACCATCCCTCTTACAGGAGATGAAGACATTCTCGGCTTCAGCCCAAAGTCCCCGATTTGCATACACATCCATGATGGCAGCGTAAGTCTTTGATGACAGACCACCAGCTAATTGACACCTTTCAAACAGGGCATTGGCTTGCTCGATTAGTCCTTCACTAATATACAATTCCATAACAACTGGAAGGGAACGCTCATTGACATGCATACCTAAACTCTCAATTTCTTTAAGCACAGCCTCAACTTCATGCACCATTTTTTCCTTGCATAGTATATGAAGAATGGCTCTATGAGTTTCAACATCAGGAAAAAGCCCGAACTCCCTTATCTTTCTGTAGTACTGGAGAGCTAGGTCCATGTTCCCCACATTGGCATACAGAGATATGAAAATGTTAAATGTTTTTGTGTCAGGAGATATCCCTCTTTCCTCCATCTTGTTACGCAAAGCTTCAGCTTCACCCAAGTTGCCGAGATTCCCACAAAGAAAGATCATGGTGTTGAAAGTAAAACTGTCCAATGCCACTCCAGACTTGAGCATTTCTGCAAACACATCCACAGCCTCTTGCAAACGGCCTGCCTTTCCATACAAATCAATCAGAGTATTGTATGTTGATGTAAGTCGAGGTTTCCTAATATGTCCCTCCGCTTCTGACAATTCTACAACCCCAGATGGATTCATTGCACCTGTCCTGAAAAGCTCAGTCAATAAAAATTGCTTCAAACTTAAGGGATCTGAACTAGTAATTGTTTCTGGCACATCTATAGAATTTAAATCGTGATCATTCAACTTGATTTTCCCTGTACACCAATCTTTAAAAAACCTATCTGCCCGTTCATACTCCCCTGCATCCTTCAAAACTTTAACCACTGTGCTCATTGTAACCTCATCTGGAAAAATTCCTCTCAACTTCATATGCTTAATCCACAGAAGTGCTTCTTTAACCAGGCCTGCTTTTCCATAAACATCAACAAGCATTCCATATGTATTGTTTGTTGGCAAAACCCCAGATTTAGCCATTTCAGTCCAGCAAAGTCTCAACTCATCCCATTTTTTAGCTCTGCCCAGAGTGCGCAGCACAATATTGTAGTGTATCACATTAGGCACATAATCTTTCTGTGACTTCATCCACTCAAACACCCTAAGGACCTTCTCCCAACTTCTCTGTTCTTTGAGAATCACAGTTAACGCCCTAGCGTTAAGTTGCTCAGAATACAAATGAAGTGTCTTCTCTACCTCACCCTCAGTGGCCAAAGATTGCAAAATTTTCGGCAATTCACCTGCATACCCTTTCCTTTTACCAATCATGTCAGCATTTGAAGCAAAAGCTGGAGTCTTCAAACAACACCGAAGCTTAAACCCTGCGAAAACCCCAACTCCTTTATCAAACGTTGCTGTTGTAAGTCTTTGAATTCTCAGATTGGATTGGTTTTGTCGTAGCGAAGTGCAGTGAGACACGTGAGCTTGCAAATGAAACCCTCGAAAACTCGTCGAATTAAAGGGACAATGAAAAACTACTTGCTGGAATTTATATGGAAGAGAGTAGAAGCGGATGCTTCGCCGACTCCGTCCGTGCCAATTTTCTTGGCCTCCGGAGACTCTGGAGGAACTGTGTACATGAAGCATCATAAAGCTCGGATGTTTAATTCCTTGGAATGAACGGCGGGCCTAACCAGAACAACTCTCTGGTTGAGCTATGACCCTGGACGCTTTCGAACGAGGGTGGAGGTCGTTGGCAACGTTGGAGACTTGGAAGTCAGCAACGGCGACATCTGAGACACGGAAGTGAAATAGGCCGCAGGGGTTCTCTGCGCCGGGACGGCGACATCTGAGACACGGAGTTGGTTCCATTTTTATTCAACACAGCGGTATATTGTGAAGTGTATAACTTTTGATTTTGTAGGTTAGATTATATAACAATTAAAATAAATATAAAATCAGAATTGCTTTTTCTAATTAAAAATCCATTTTAGCTATTGCCTCATCTATTTTTTCTTTACTTTCTTAATAAAATATATTTTAAATAATTTTTGTAATTTAACATATTTAAATATTCAAACTTGTAAATTTTAGCAGGTTTAACTGATTTAGCTATTTTCAATGTTACCGAAAATATTGTTAGCGAGATTACGAAGTGTGTTGCACGGGGCTGCAAATACATATAAGAGTATGGAGTTTTTTTCGAATTAATGTTAATTAATTAATTAATTACGGAAATAATGCTGGAAAAAAAGTATTTACCAAAATACTGCTGGCCCTTAACCACGGTCAGGAGTAAGTCGCCCAACGGTTGGGCGACTTATAAGTCGCCAAACCGTTTGGCGACTTATAAGTCGCCCAACCGTTGGGCGACTTACCCCTGAAATATGGTTGAAGGCTAGCAGCTACTGCCAGCCAGGCACGATCGTGCCTATAAGGGTAGGCACGATCTTGCCTATGTCCGAAAACAGCATTTCATCAGGTTTTTCGCCTCGGTTCAACCCAGACTCATCTATTTGCTATAAATAAGGTCTCCCTTTTCCTGTTAAAGTATTACGAACTAGATACAACACATTATGAAACATACAACACACGTCTTCACAATGACCTACTCTCAACAATATTAAAAACACCTTATAAACACCTGTAAACAACCTTCAAATCATAACCGGAATAACACAATACAATCATCATATATGCCATAACAAGTAATCATCTAATATTCATACTCGAACACATCAATACACCATACAATACTTAACAAGACAAAATACATCAAAACGTGTACATTGTTTGTACAACATCTACTGCATAAGAAAAACTACAATACAAAAGACAAACTACAAGTTCTCATCATCAGCTTCGTCATGGAGATGTTGCTGCTCGTGTCTACGCCTACGGCGTTGTCGTGGTTGAAGAACAACTCTCTCATGTTGCGTCTGGGATGATGAAGCCGCGGCTGCACTAGACGTGGATGCCATCTCCTGAGATGGGGGCATGTGTATAAGATGTCCGTAGTCTACTCGGCCCAACACATCTGAGCACAATGAGGCAATGCCTGTCAGAGCCTGTCCATACATGTCCACATCAGGAATATCAGTCACAGTGGCAGTAGCCCGCTGATGTATGCGCTGCAAAGCTCGTGTCTGAAATATGAAACACAATTACAATTACATTCAAATACATACAAGTATTACATAAATAAAATGACTTACTTTACTAATTACTAATATACTCACCGTAAGATGCAAAGCCAAGGAGCTAGGCTGATAATGATGAGTAGGGAGTCTGAACGAAGGAGACACAAATAACCGAGTGATGCTGTAGTACCATCCCATGTAGTCTCCTGAAACAGATGGCACATATGTGGGTGTCCCAACCACAGCTAGCTCAGCTCTCTTTTCCCACATAGTCACGTATCGGACATGTCTGAGTGCCCAATCCTCTGTATGCTTCCCACGCCTATCCAGCTTATGCAGCTCTACATAAGTGTCGATAGGACGTGGAACGACCTGCTCAAACCCAAACTGTCGCATGACTCTATCAGGCAAATGCAGCTCAACAATGTCAAAACATATCAACGGGACACGTGCTCGCCAGATGTGAGTATGCTCTCGTCCAGCTGGGGGCAACTCTGCTAACATACCAGGTCTAAACGGCATCCATGTGATCTGTTTCATAAACATACAAAATTAGTATTTATTCTACACCTATTCTACTTAATGTTATACTACATACACCATACCTGGTCCTCAGACATCCGATCCAATGCATCCCTGTAGACACCAAGCCCAGTAGCGGATGACATGCGAGATAGACCAGCATATAGCCACCTAACCATTCATGTAACAATATCAATAATATGGATATTATTAATTTATTAACATTCAACAAATACTCACATAAACTAAAACGATTGAAAACATACCGACGGCCTAGAGGGTCCTCACCCCGTACATGATGTGGTCCTAGCAGACGTGGAGGCTCATCAGGCAGTGGTTGTCCATCAATGCCATGATATCCGACTATAATGGGACGGCCAATGTAGATATACTCCCATGACCAAATCTGGAGGAGTAGCAAAAATCCCCCCAGCTCTGTGCTCCCTCTCTGGCAGCCGCGACACAACTGCCTGTATAGATAAGCCAGGGTGGCACTACCCCAGCTGAACTGTGCTGCTACATCAAACCTCTCCAGCAAAGGCAAGTGTAGCACCTGAACCTCATTTCCGCTCTTGTCAGCGAAAATGGAGGCTCCCATCATCATCAATATATACGCCCGAGCATGCTGCTGGATGATCACCTCATCAGCGTCGGGAGGAAGGACCTGGAAGTGCTCCCTCAACCACGGCATCCTAAGAGATGACCCCTGAAGGTCAGTCCTAAGAACGGGGCGGATACCTAACAACCGCTCACACTCATCAACCCACTGTCGACAAGCAGTGCCTGTAACAGCTCTCCCATGAACCTCTAACCCGGTGAGTACAGCCACATCTCCCAATGTCACAGTCACCTCACCAACAGGGAGGTGAAATGAGTGTGTCTCCTGCCTCCAACGCTCAAGTAGAGCAGTGAGAAGGGATCTATCAAGAGGCACAGTAGCCACTAATCTGTGCAGTGTAAAAAAACCAGCAGCACGAACATAGGCTAGGACTCTGGGTCGACATGTAAATGGGACAAACCCCGCAGGTGCTCGCGGCACCTATCAACCTGGACATCCATGCCAAGCCAAACATCTTCACTCCTGTGCGAGGCCTGCAATGTCAGGACAGAACGATCACTCGGCCCAGGATCCGCTATCACCTCCATGCCTACAAACAAATAAAATTTGTATTAGTTCTAATTGTATAATGTATTACTTTTTTTGTAACATTCCTTTTTGAAATTATTAAGTTTCCTTGCAAGGAAAACATGATTTATGATTGACTCTAAATAGAACCTTACCCGGCGGACCCCCCCCCCCCTCTTGTCTAGACGATCTTTTCGCACATGTCGCTCTATTATGGCCGGTTTGGTGGCATTTTCCACATCTAACCGTTCCTCGTGGACCTTCATCCATCTCATTCTTAATACGGGTCGACTTTGGTCTTCCCTTTGCCCGAAACATGGATGGATCGTGCACGATTTCGGGTCCATTGTAATTTGGCCAATAATCACGATCAGGAATCGGTTTGAACACCCTATGATATGTGGCGGCGTATTAGTCAGATGAGAAGAACTTATCCACAAAAGGAGCATAAGACAAACTACGTTGTCTACACACGGCTAATACATGAGAGCATGGAATCTTGTATATCTGCATCTTTTTACAAGTGCAAGTTTTCCGTTGTATGTGGACAGTTTGTTTTCTCCCACCCTTTCCCAACGTTCGGCCACCACAACCGGTTTCCACCTGAAATATACCTCTCCCTAAATCAAATGGAGTGACAATGTGATGCTTTGCCTTCTCTCTATTTTTTTCAATTAAATCTGTGATGTGTGGGGAGTACTCGTGGCCTTGTGTGAGCCTCAATTTACTGGTTTCACGCCTATGCACAAAGTAGGCATTAACCCGGTAAAAAGACACCTGGACCAACGCGGTAATGGGCAAATATCTAGCATTTTTCATGACGCTATTGAAAACCTCAGCTAGATTTGAAGTGATGGTACCGTATCTGTACCCGCCATCGTGGTGCAGCGACCACATTTCTGGAGGAATGTTGGCCAAAAATTGGCGTGCATCCCTACTCATTTCACCTATCTTCTTGAGCCCACCATCAAATTTTTTTTTCTGATGTTGCCGTGCGGTCCACACAAAAAGATTTTTTAAATGAATGTCTTTGAAATGCGTGTGCACATTTGATGCAAGATGGCGGATGCAAAGCCTATGATGCGCATAAGGCTCCTCCCATGTACTGCCCACCTCATTCATTGCCCTGACAATACCTCCATGTCTATCTGAAATGACACACAACTCCCTGTCAGTCACAAACTGCCTAATACATGCCATAAACCATGGCCAACTATCTCCATTCTCGGATTCAACAACTGCAAAGGCGACTGGGAAAATTTGGTTGTTCGCATCACAACCCATGGCCACGAGCAATGTACCCTTGTACTTTCCATACATGTGTGTGTCATCAATAGTAAGTACGGGTCGACAATGCTTAAAACCAGATATTGAGGCCTTGAATGCCCAAAAAACTCTTTGAAACATCATATAACCTGTGGAACCATTGGGGGGTGGGTACCACTGAACAACAGTTCCTGGATTAGAATGTTGGAGCGCTGTCATGAAATGGGGCAATTCGAAATATGACTTTTCCCAACCGCCAAATATTTGTGCTATGGCCTTTTGCTTCCCCATCCATGTTCTCCGGTAAGATACCGTATACCCATATTTTTCCTTCAACATCTCGATGATAGTATGCACTTTAAGAGAAGGATCAGTGCGAATAATGTCAACCACATCTTTACAGATGAATTCTGATGTCAAGGCCACGTGATATGTAGTGTTGATGTTGCCTACACATGAAGCAGAATGAGGTCCAGGATAATGCACAATTGTGAAGGTGTCAAGGTTGCCTTTGTTCTTTGTGGCGCGTATTCTCCAGGGGCAATGACATTCTTTCTTCCTTTTGCATTGTGCCACCCATTTGTTTTTATCAGACTCTATCACCCGATAGAATTGGTTCCGTTTGATAGAATACAAGCTCACCATATTGATGACTTGTTCTTTGTTGTCAAACTGTTGACCGACCTCAAACTCACCATCGGGGGTAAACCTTTTCTCACCTGATCCACTCATCCACGCATCAGTAAAGCCTTCAGGGAGATCATACATTCTAGTGAAGTGGCTAGACGGGGCAGTTGATGTCACAGTATCACCATCATCTTCATCAGATTCTGTCATGTCGTCACCATTGATGTTCTC